TGACCTTCTCTCCCCAAGCTGGCCCAGGAACAGATGAGGAACCCTAACCCAGTCTCTGCTGTAATACTATTGAAACAAAATCATCTCTGCCCAAAGTTTACAGTTGCTTTTTAAAAAGGCAGCAAATGTGACATAGTACTCCAAAAATCATACTGTGAGGATGTTAACCCTTTGGTGCTCTGAAATGTGTCCAAAGCAGGGCCCCATTCCCTGCTGTCCCTCACACGCAGCTGCTCAGGGTCCAGTGCTCTCGTCCTCTTGCCTCTCAAAAGAGCAAGCACCCCTGAGGATGCTGCTTGCAAGCTGAACTGTAGCATTGAAGGAAAAGTATTGCACTCCACTGCACAAAAGCAGCAAGAAAGAGAGGATTCCTGGCACAGCAGGAAAGCCAAGATGTCCCTGGAGTAATTCCAAAGTCTTGCAGGCTGATATATTTTTACAGCATCACAGAAACATGAGATCTTATTTTTCAAGAGTCCTGATTATAGGTTAGTGCCTTTTGTGCTTTCTTTGTGCTTTCTTTTAGATATGAATTTTTTAAGAAGTATTGTAACTGACCTGTTCCTGAGATTTGTCTGTGCCAACAACACTTTTTGTTGCCATATAAGTTTAAAGCACCATTTTTCTCTGTATTGAATTTCATTCTTAGATGGCTGAAATAGATTTAGAAGTGTATTTGTTGAGCAATGTTTGGGATCAAGTACCATTTTTTGCCGTTTAACCATCATAACAAACATATACTCAGCAAACATTCTGAATAAAATTCCATTGTATGGAATTGTCCTCAGCTGTGAATTACATTTTTCATGGCAGATTTACTCCTCTGACAGAGAAAATTCAATATGTAGCTGCATTTCTATTACAGATACAGTCTTCTGCTAGCCAACAGATAAGCTTTTTATCAGCAGCCATGCTTCTGTGGCACTCTTCTGGGCTGCTGCCAAGCTTTGCCGTCCTTCCTTTCATGAGCAGACCAATGTGCAAATATTTGAAAACCCTAAATAATATAATAGTTACTTGAATGCATGCTCAAAAAAAGCCCAAAAAAACCCCAACAACACCAAACAAAATCAATTTCAAAACTCTTACACCAACATAATGTACCTAATGCAAATCTACAAAACCAAGGAGCACATTTGCCATTTCCAAAGCCCCCTGACCCATGGACTACATAGATCAGCTTTTCCTCTGAGCCACAGTGGAAGTCTGCCTTCTTATGTCTCTTTGCCACATCACCCCTCAAACATGCAGTGTCAGCTCCAAATGGAGCCAGTAATGTTGGGAAGACAAGTCTGGGTAAAGAACATGATGAAGAATAAGCAGACAGGAGAGATTACACTCTGCTGTGGTTTTTATTATGCATAGGAGCAATGCTGAGGTGTGTGGGGTGTACAGTCACTGGTTAGAATCCAGCCTAAAATTCAGAGATGGGCAGCAGGTGCAGCTGTGCTGTCCACTGTGGTTGCTGAGGGCATCCTCTGCTGATAATTGAGCACCCTGCATTTCTAACAAGAAGGCATTTTTAACAAGGCACTGGAACTCTTCAGCTCACAGTGCCACACAAGCTGCTGGCTTTAGCCCAAGCACATTTTATCTTCTCTACTCTTGTGAACTATTTTTCTGTTCTTCTTGCAATGGAATAAGAACCTGTGGAGATAAGATCCTTTTTCTTCCCTGTTGCCCTTCAGATGAGAGGATGTGCACTTGGAGTGATGCCCATTAGCAGAAGTGATGTTGGAATACTGGAATCAAAAAATTCCCCACAGAGAAACAGCAGTGGTAAAAGAAGAAAACTGAATAAAGTGAAGTGACCTTGGTGGACAGCTACTGAAGGAAAAAATAAAAGAGAAAAGAAAGAAAGAAAACTACCAGGAAATGGGTTAATGTGTGAGGGCAATATAAAATATGAAAAAGTACAAGAAAAGTAAGGGGAAGTCAACAAAATTGTCACAACAGGCAGAATGAGAAGGCATAAGCAATAAAACAAGAGAGGAAAGATTAATCAAATCCCTCCTTACTGTAGGGTTGTACTACACCTTGCCTTATGTTTTTTTAAGTGTAACTCTATAAATTAACCTCATTGGCTTTTTTCCCCCCATTGTGGGGATATAAAAGATGCTAATAAGTTCTTACAAAGGGTAAATAGTTTAAGGGGATAATACTAGTGATACTGAAGTATTAAACTGAAGATCAAAGCTAGGACTGCCAGTATAGGATCTTTAGATTATCCATACATTGCTACAGCTCTAACAGATTAAAGACTAATTTGAACATAAAAAGATGAAAAATCATAGGGATCATAGCCATTATAATAATGCCCTGATTACAAAACATAGTAAAGGCCCAATTCTTTCAGGCTCAGACCAAATAGTCCTTTATTAATAGCTTCATTAAAGTTAGTGGAATCATCTTGGTGGGCTGTGTTCCTCATCAAAAGTAAGGATTTCTAAGGTCAGTCTGCTCAAGCTCAGTGACATTTTTCAACTCTTAGACCAGTTTCCATTCTGACCCCTGGAGTAGTAAGGGTTACAGTGATGTTTTGACTGTTCACTTCCATCAGCAGCAGCGCAGTTATACAGAGAAATGCTTTTCATAAGGAGAAGAATCTGTCCTGTGCAACCTAAACTCTGAATATTGTTAAAGTAGGAGCTACTTCCAGCAGCAGTCTCTGGTGCCTTGGGGATGAAGGTTTCTGCATTGAAACTCTACAACTCCTTGGCAACAAGGGCTGTTCTGGGACCAGTAGGACAGGTAAACAAGTGTAGCTCTCCCTGCTCTCAAAGCCATAGCTCTCTTGGGCATTAACATTTCAGACTCACTCAGAAGGTTAAAAAAGACCCTGGATGATGTAAAAGTCACACCACAGAACAGAGAAAAACAGATCACCTTTTTAAGCTCCATTTCAAATGTCACCTACTATAGTGATATGCTCTCAGGCGAAGTCAGGTTTGGGGAGAGAAGAAAAGTTGTGTTTGAAAGAGAATGTGCTTCTGAGATGGTTTATTTCTTGCCATTTCTCTGTCAAGTGCCAAAGATTCTAGGAGTTTACATAAACTCTGGAGAAGGATTGGAAATGGATATGTAAAATTCAGTGTATTAGAACTCTGGGAATTGCAAGCCCCAGATAAAAAGCAGCTATAAAAGGTAGCTAGTCAGGTTTGGTGTTCATACATTTCCACCATTTACCTGTCTGTTCATTTTTTCTTTGATGTCTCAGACCTGATGCTGCTATTATGCACATTATGACAACTGTCACCTTCCACACAGGACAGGTAAAGAAAGAAGGCAAAAGTCCAAGAAAAAGCTACCATGCCTTTATAATTACCTTTAGGATTATGGCTTGAACATAGACTTGAAATATGTGACTTGGATTCCCCTATGGGTCTGGAAGAAACCTTTAGAGTACATCCACTCTCGCTGCTGACAGATGGTAAAGCAGAGAACAGCCACTACGAAGATAACAGTATTTCACCCACGGGTTTTTCTTACTATGTAGTAGCATAAGGTAGCTGTGAAGTCAGTGGTGTTTCAGAACACTTCTTGCAGTACTGAGGTTTCTGGCTGGAGGTAGCCCAAACACACAATCAGTCTAGGAACTCTCAATCTCAGCACAGAGGTCACATAAAAGAAGAAGATACCTATCCAAATGACAGGCAGGTTTATGTGGGTCATGGCTGTTTCTACCATGTACCAGAGGCCAAACTTGCTGCTTTTCACCCTGAAATGGGGAACTACAAAGCTTTAAACCCCTTGGGGTTTTTTTCCCCTCAGCTTGTCATGAGAGTGGCTAGGCAAGATACAAAAAGGAACTCCAGAGAGGAAAGACTGAAAAAAAAATTGAAGCTTTAATATATTCCTACTCTCTGACCCCATTCCTCCTTTGCTGTGCATCAACCATTTTAACAATCTGGCAAAAGCAAACCCTGAAACTAGAAAACCCTTTCCTAACCAGTGTCACAAAACCTCTTGTCATTTACTGAGAAATGTTATGATGTTTTAATATGTTATCTCTTCTCTTTTCTTTTTTAAATTTTCATTCAATACCACTTAGTTCCTCATTTTAAAAATAGCTGTTCTGAAAAGACCAGTTTGCATTTTAAAACAAACAAATGGTTAGGATCTGCTTACAGAATTGAGCTTAATATGGTAGTGGCTGTTAAACAAGACTGACGAATAACAATAATAAAAATCAGTGAAATCACTTACATATAATCTCTTGACTATGAAATAAACCACTGCTACATCCACGCTAAGCACATGTAAACAAAACATGGGGGATTTGCCGCTGCTGGTTTCTTTCTCCTAAGGATGGTTATTTTCAGTTCATAAACTCTCAGCTGTCATCCCTGATTTATCTTCGCAGCAGATTCTTGTTGGGGTCACAGGGCTGGGAGCAGGGGCGATGTGGCACGTCCCCCGCCCGCTGCGCTCTGCCGCCCCTGCCAGCCACAGCGTTCGTAGCTGGGATTCGTGCTTCCCTTTTAACCCCTTTCTCATCCCTCCCTCTGTCAGTGCCTGACATTTTGTGCATTTTGGTTGTTTTCCAGCATGGTGAGAGCCGTGTGAGGGAGAGGTACGAGCTTAGTTTGCTGGTGAGCATCCTCCTCTAATTCGGGGACGGGAGAGAGGGCTAACAGAGATAACGAAACCCCGCCTGCGTTCAATCTGCTGCCCAAACAATGTCTTTATTTAAGCATATGAAGACATCGCTGTGTAGAGGTCCTTTAAAAAATGTTTTAGCCTTTCCCAGCCGTAGCGAGAGCGACCACTTTATTTGCTGGAAAGGGCTCTTCCCGCCCCTTCCTACTCCTGCCCTGCCTCCGCCCCCCGCCTCCCTTCCCCATATATTATTACTCTATGTTAAAACAGTCCCACCGCGCTCCGTGCCCACGGCCGGCCGGCGGGCAGCCCTTCCGTGCCCGGGCCGAGCGGAGCTGTCTGTGCGCGGCG